ATCCTTTTCCTTTTACCTTCCTCAGTATTAATATACTGTAACCTTTTTGTTCCTTGTGGTGGTGGTGGAACATATGTAACCTCCTTATGGTATTGTGGGGTATAAGGAATTTTTTGTTCTCTGATAGCCTTCTTCCTTTCTAAATATAGTCTTTTCTTTTCCTTCTTTCTATAGTCATCAAAACCATCATCATCTATTTCTTTTTTAATTGGTTTGATTTCGTAATCTATCAAAGGTCTTCTTTTATTGCTACCTATCTCCTCTTTACCTCTTTTTCTTTTCGGGGGTTTGTAATAGGTAGTAGATTTTTTCTGTTTTAATGTAATTGTAGGTTTAATGTCTGGCAGGATAGGCGGTATAATGTTATAAGATGGTGTCTCTTTTGGATACGAACTAAAGGACATATCATCACTCATCCATATATTATCGTCGTCTTCCCCAATATTTGAAGCCGGAAGGGAGGCTGTAGTATTCATAATTGCACCCTTTGGACTAGCAACCATCTCCACCTTAACCGGTCTATTTTGGTGCTCGTTTCTTAATTGCAAATATCGCCTAAGTTCCTGATTATAGTGTACATTTTTTGCACTAGGTGTCTCCCGTTTCAATTTTGTTTTCTCTAAACCTTGACGAATAAAATCCAAGTTTGGTTCCCCTGAATCTTGGGTTGTCAAACCTTTGTAAATTTCCTCAGGAACTAGAATAAATTTATTAGCCATAATTTTAATTTTAAATTAAGATGTGTCATGGGTTTTTATAGTCAGCATCCTAGCCATTTCAATGAGAACGGGTGTTAAGAGGGCTGCAAAGACACCCACTCCGTCACCCTTTTGATTAATAACATGTCTGGCTCCCCTTTCACTCCTAACCCTACTCAAACTTCGTACAAATTCTGCATGGGGTAATAATCTTTTCTTTTGCCGAGTTGTAAGTTTGAACCTCTCTTTTACTATGTTCAAACAAATTTCAGCTAATGCTAAAAGTTGTTCACTATTTGACAATTTTAAGAGTCTTTTCCTTTTTCTCCTAGATTTGGTCTTTGACAATAAATGTAAAAATTTTATGTTTTCAGAAATTAATTGATTAACCATTTTTTGGAAAGAAAATTATCTTTTCGTCATCTTCCTTAAATATGTTGGTCCTAAGACGCAGGGTAGGATCTGAGGAAGCATGCATATCAATGAGCAAGTAACCATAAGGTTGCTTGGTTGCCTGCCGATATGAGTCAAAAAAATAGTCCAACTGTTTTGGAAATAGGTGCACCCCTATATTTCTGATGGATAGCATTGAATTGGGTGCCCTCATTAATATAAGGTACTGAGAATTTTGTCGTGCTACTTTGATTTTCTTATCGAAAAGATTTTGTGTAACAAAAATTATAGAAAAATTTTGATGATGAGATTTTTTGGTAAACAATTCAGATAGATATTTTTCATCAATAGAAAGATTCAAATCATCAAGAATTAGTAAAAGAGGTTTAGGGTATTTTTTAATTAGGTCTTCAGGTGGAACTCCAGAAAACACATCAACTCCAGATTTTTGTAAAAGTGGTACAATATTGTTCATTTCCCCGAAACAGTAAAGTATAGACTTTGGCTTAGGGTGGACTAACTCTTCGGATTCTGCAATAAGTTTCAATAACAGTGTACTCTTTCCACTTGAACTAGGACCAGATATAATCATCCCAAAAGGTAAGTTAAATTTTAAATCTTTATCTGAGAAAGCTAATGAATTCATAATGAATATTTATGGATATACGAAATTTTCATTTAAATATCATTTTAATCGGTTGGTATGCCTGTAACTGATGCGTCCAAACTCTGAAAGAAATCATCCAACTCATCCATTGTTGGAAGGTTATCCAGGGGTTGGGGTGTCTGTGTCACTTCTTCGGGTATTTTGGGCGGACTTTGTGGTTCAGCTTGTTCAGTTTTGGGGCAAGGAATCTGAGTAGTATCATTGTATGGTACATTAAAGACTCGGCCTTTGTTCTTTACTTTAAAGAAACAATGTCCTGGTAAATCGTATAAAGAATCGAAGGGAACAAATCGACTTCCTTCAAAGCGGGTGCAATAGACTACAACCCCTTCCTTTACTATAATAAAATCTAATTCGACTTCTGTGCTCTTGCACTTACGACATTTACCTCCTTGGTCGTAAGGAAGAAACCGTGGAGTTGTATATCGGACACTGGAAATTGTAATCCCTGTAGCTGAGATGTTAAACTCAACTTCAGGTAATATTTTTGGGAATTTTATATCGGACATTTTCAATAATGAAAGATTTTTCAATAAATCTTGCCTTTTTATACCCCAGATAAACGAGGAATCAAATGATACAAATACATTTAACCAAAATACATTTCGGTCAAATGTCCATATGTGAGATTTAAATTAGTAAGGAATGAACTGAGAAATTGTACAATAAATTGTACATACCCCTCAGATGTGAAACTTAGAGAATTTGATGAGGTGTACACTAAAGTGAGATGTACATTAATAGAGAATTAGACAAGAGTTGTACACAAGAGTTGTACACAAAAGTTTTTGTGCGGTGAAATGGAAGAAATCTGGCCTACTGAAACCCAAAGGGGTGTTAACTACTAAGTATCGGTATTTTGGAATAACTACTGCAGGTATTAACTACTGAATTTGATAATGATTTAGTGAATTTTGAAAAGTTATAAAAATTTTTAAAAGTCCAAATATACTCCTCAATTTCGACTTGCCTAATCTCGGTTGTCACAATAACTACTTTTCTTTTTTTTACACTTTAACACCCCATATCCCTCTAAATAAATAAAAATTAAACTTTTTTCTCAAACAACCCATCCCACGGAAAAATATATTAAATAAATATTTAAAAACATAAAATACATAACAGGTTAAATAGGGAGCAATTCTTAAAAAAGTTCTCAAAATAGAAATGAAAACCTACAAAAAAAGGAAATAATAGAGGAAAAAATATGACAAATGTAGAAAATAGGGAAAATAATACAATTAAAAATATTTTAAAAAAACAGCTATAAGACTAGAAAATTTTGAAGACCCGACCCGAAACTTTTTCAACCCATCCTATGACTAGATATTAAATATATAAAAATAAATTATTAAAATTATTTAAATTACTAGAAAATACATTACTAAAAATAAATTAACAAAAATTAAATTTTTAATAAAAAACATTGAAAATAATAGAATTTGCCTATTTTTATATAAAATAGACATTTAATGTAATGAAAAAGAGCAGTGTAGGAGGAAAAATATTATTCAAGAAGAAAAAATATATCGGCAAAATAAAGAAAAATTTTGTGGAAAATAAACTATTAAAAACAATGCAATAAAATAAAAGGATTATATTTTGATGAGAAAAGGATTTGGAGGCAAAAGGATATAAAGAGAGGAAAAGAAAGTCGCAGCAGACAAAGGAAATTTGCATGAGTGGGGAGAAAAGCCTCAAGTCTTTGGATGGACAAAAGAAAGAGTCCCACTAGGTTTTGGTTTGGCTGTGAAGAGTAAAGAAGAGGGAAAAGCTCCAGTAGCTTTAAGTTTGGGGTGGGTGGGTTGGAGAAGAAGAGGGATAGAAAAGCTTTAATGTATTTGGGTTGGGTACCTTTTATTAGAGAGGGGTGGGTGGGGGAAGAAGAGTCTCAATACCATTTGGTTAGTGGGGAAGGGGCCGGGAAATGATTTTTTGATTAATTAACTTGTCACTTTTGACGGGCGACTCGGAGGGGTGACTAACTACTTTTAAGTTGTTTATTCAAAAGAGAACAATTCTGTTGATATTTATAATTTTGATAAGAAAAAAGAAAGTTATAATTATATACGTAGAATTACAAGAAAAGGAATTGATGAATATATAAATCCTTCAACAATTAAAAACGATAACGAAAAAATTATTTTATTCGGCAAAGATCCTTTTGGGTCAATAAATTATTCAGATTTATTAAATTTAATTAAAAACGAATTTTTTGACAAGAAAGGAATTAAAGTTTTGGATGAACGTATTTTCTTTTTTAAATTAATTTATTTATTGTCATCTGACAAAAAATTTGTAAAAGATTTTAAGAATTGGCCAAAAGAAATTGTAAATATAGAAAAATATATGGAAAAAAGAAAATTAAAAAATTGGTTAAATTTTGAGGAAATTATTAAAAATATAGAGAATTAAGAGGTTTATTATCGAAAATTTTTTTTTGATTTTTATGAAATGATTATTTATGTTAAAAATAGATTTGTACGCACAGGGATGTCACGGGTTACCCGAAACCGGTCAAAAATATTATAAATCGGAGAAACTTATTCACAAGTGGGCTGAATTCAAAATTTTAACAGACCCGTCCCGACAACCCGATACTCGAAACCCGGAAATTTTTTCGACCGGAAATACTATCAAAAGCAACCGACTTCTTTCACAACCCGTGCCATCTCTGGTGCGCACACACCCTAGACTTCTGTCTTCAATCAGTTTTGAGACCAGTGAGCTGAAAATTCTGTCGTATTCGGTACAGAAGGCATCAATAAAGGTGCCTTTTTTCAATTCTGTTAAGCCGATCGTGCACAGCCCAGTTCGAACGATGTTTTTGATTTTATTTAATTTTAACTCCTTTGTATTGAAATTAAAACCTGCTTCAAATCCGTAAAGAGACCGACAAAATCTGAGTTTTATAAATGTTAGAAAGAATAGAGAAATGTTTTAGAAACTTTAAGTAATTGTTTAGATTAAAAGGCTAACAATTATATTTACTTTATTTGAGGCAGGGCTTAGCGTCATAACATTTAGGTGTTGTTTCCGTTTCGTTTGTCGTGTTTTTATTATTTTTTTCTTAAATTTATTTAACAATTTTTATTTAAATTTTTCGTTAAGAAAAATCTTTTACCTATCATATTATTCAATTTAAAAAATATTCATATGTATTTTAAATTCGTTGCTATAGAAACAATTTATTTTTAAGTATAAATTTTTTTCTAAATTTTTGATTGATTTTGTTTAAAAAATATAAATGGAACAATGGGATACTTGGCTAGCTAATGATATTTCTGTTTGTAATAAAATTAAAAATGAAAATAATATTAAAGAAACAACAAATAAATTGGCAGAAAATATTAGAAATAATAAATCAAATAATACACAGGAAATAAATAAATCAGATGAAACAATAACGACGCCTTTATGGTCACCAAAAATTGTATTTTATTTCTAGATATACCTAATTAATTTATTTTTTATTTAAACAAAATTTTAAAAATAAAAGTTTTTTTCGATACTTTTGAATAGGGTTAGGGCCTGGTCCGAGCGGATCGAGTCGAGCATCGAATTTTGGCACGAAAAAATGATTAGACTAAAATAATTTTTTGTTTTATTAATTAATTTTAACAAATTTTTTAAAGATAGAAAACCCCAAAAAACTTAATTGTACATCAAAAAGTGATTTGAATTCATTTATTCAATTAATTGAAAGGAAGAAACCTTTAGATGAAATTTTAAAAATTGAAAACCTTTCGGGTAATTAAAAAAATATTTTTTTAAATTTTTGTTTAAAAAGATGAATTAAAAAATGAGGCAATTCTTTGGGATGAAAAATTTCCAGACTTGACAATATTTGGAAAGGGAATAAAGAAAAGTTTGGAACAACAAGAAAGAGATAATTTAAGAAAAATAATTTCAAAAAGAATTATTGAAGAACATTTAATGCCTGAGGTTTTTGTTAAATTAAAAATCAAAAAAGAATATTATTTATGTAGGTCTATGCTTCTCTTAATACAAGTAATTCAGTTAATAATAATTCGAAATCTAGCCATTCCTTTCTTCCACCAATATTGAATTCTCAAAAGAAAGAGTTGAATAAAATGATAAACAAAAGATGAACATTTTACGTTCTAAACACATTCTAATCCTTCCTAAAAAGTGGAACTTCTTTTTTAATATTCCACATTTCATAAGCAATACAGTCATTTTCAATTAATTTAATTAAATCTAAAAATTAGTAAATTCAGCTAATATTGATATATTGGGGTGGTCCACAAGTTCGTTCGTTTTTTATGCAAAAAATTTAAACAATCATAACTCGAAAAATTTAAGAGTATTCTTCAAAGTAAAGTCTATTGTGTTCTATGCACTGGTCTAACCGATCTCCGTTTTTCTTCGAGACTTGTGTCGCCATCATTGAATTTTTAAACCAATTTTGTGCAAGACGAGCTAAAGTACACTATCTTTATGTGGTCCACAAGTCTTATGTGGTCCACACTGTATGTGGCCCAACTTGAATTTCGCAAATTTTTCGCGCAGCTTCCGTGCACGAAGCTTCCGTGCAGCTTCCGTGCAGTGAAGTAAAAGTGCACGAAAATAGTATTTTTCCATATTTTTCTAAAATCCTTAAAAAATTTTTAAAAAAGTGAAAAATTATTAAAGAACATCTAAAATTGGCCACTATCTAAAATATCAGGATTCCAATATGTATAGACTATCTAATTTTATTAATTTCATATATAAAATACAAATTTTAAAACGATTTCAATATTTATTGTTAAATAAAATTATTTAATAATAAAATTTAAAAATCAAATTAAATAATAATTATTTTTTTATTTGTTTAAAATTTTATGAGAAAATTAACAAAAGAAATATGAAATAAAATAAAAAATTTTATAGAAATATAAAAGTTTTATTTGATTTTAAAATTTAAAAAAAGTTTAAAGCTTTTATCAAATAAAAAATATTTTTTAATATTTCTTACATATGTAAATTCAATCATTTTTAAATTATAAAAATTTTATTAATAAGAATGGATAATTTTAGTAAGGGAAAATAAAAGTGGATTGATGATTCTTTTATTTGATTTTCTCTATTGGTTTCTAAAAATCCAAATAAATAATAGAAAAAATGTTAAATTAGTTAATAATAAATGTAAAGCCTGTTCAAGTAGTTGAAATGTACTTTTGTTTTAATTCATTTAAAAATTTAATTAATTTATTAGAATTCACAGTTAAATAAACAATATTTAAATGTCTGGACCACACAATTATTAAATTAATATTTTGCTATAAAAGCCAGAAATTTTAATATTTAACTCAAAATATTTAAGAGATTAATTAAATATTAGAGCTTAAATAATTAAACAAAATGTTTATTTCATTATTAGCTATCTTGGCATTGTCTGCCATTATGAATACTGAATGTAATATTTAATTTTATTTAAAAATATAAAATTCTGTTTAGTTACTAACGCAATTGACCAAGCAGGGCGTGATGCAGTAGTTTACTGGCACAATTATTTTCGTGCTGAACTAGTTGCAGGAAGGGTTAAAAATAAAACTGGAGAGTTTCTGCCAAAAGCAAAAGATATGAAAAAAATGGAATTTTCTTTAGAACTTGAAAAGCAAGCACAGGCATGGGCTGATAAATGCACTTATAGTCATTCGGACCCATATGGGAATTATGGAGAGAATTTCTATGCTTATGCAAGAATGGACAATGATTGTATTTAATTATTTAATTAAATCTTATTTCTCTAAATTAAAGCTGCTGCCATCGAGTATGTAGTAAAAGGATGGTGGTCAGAGTTGGAATACAGAGGAGCTTTGGGACCTTATCCTGGCCAAGACTGCGTTGCATTTGATGCACCTCAAAATAATAGAGGTATTGGACATTGGACACAACTTGCCTGGTATAGCACTTATCAAGTCGGGTGTGGAATTGGACGTTGCCCCAAATATAAATCTTATGTTGTTTGCCAATACAAGCCACCGTAATAAATATTTAATTTTATAGTTACAATTAATTATTTTTAGTGGAAATGTTTATACAGGATGTGTTTATCATGCTGGTGAGCCTTGTACTGATTGCAAAGATAAATGTGATAGTAAAACCAAACTTTGCCTTAATTGATGTGAAATTTTTAAGGACTAAATTATAACGATATAGTTGTAAAAGATTGAATGAGTTAATAATTGTTAATAAAAAGATTTATAATAAAATTTAAGTAATAATAAACTGGGTAATTCTTTGGTTCATATACTCCCTCTGTTTTCTGACTATTTTTTCATTTTTCCTCACCTTTCTCCCTTATTTTTCATTTACTTACACTAACCTTTACAATTTATAATTTTAGGTAACATTTGATGTTTAAAACGCTCCTGTCTCAATTTTAGCCGAGTTATGGAATAATAATGGTCAAAAATATAAATGGAGACCTTTAAAAAAATATTATTACCAGTGACTTCAAACGTTGATATTTTGAATTTTTAATTGGATCATGCCAAAATGCTGAAGATGTATTAAAAGTTTTATCTCTGGGACGCGTTAAGTAATCCTCGATTTCCTAAAAATTAGTTCAGTTTCTTTTTAACTATCAAAAATACCGCAATTGATCTAACTCGATCATCTATCAATTGAGGAGAAATAGCACGTGGAGACCCAATCAACTCAAAGCATTGTTTTAAAAGTCTTTCAATCGGATCGCTATTGTCACTATTTTCTTCAAAAAGCCTCGGACTCGATGCACGACTTGTAGCTCCTCTACAGCTTTTATTAATATGTCCTTATACATTTGGTGATCAATTTCTTCAAAAGAGTGATGAAAATTCTGATGAAAATTCATTTCTGATGAAAATTCATTAAATATGTAATGGAAATACATTTTATATAGTAAATGAGACCAGACCCTAATATTGGATAAAAGTGCGAAATTACCATTTGAATTACTGTATTTCCTGTATTATAGCCCCCCTCCGAATTAGAGCCCCTCTCCTTAATAAAGCCCCCGTTTCGAGGATGGTTGAAAAATAGCCCCCCGTCTGTATTATAGCCCCCCTCTTTAACAGAGCCCCCCTATTTGTCAGATGTCAAATAGGTAATTTACAACCTAGTCTGTCATTGCGGATTGCGTTTGCGGATTTTAAATTTAAAAGTGCAGTCTAAAATTAAAATTGAGTTTCTAAGAAAACGAATAATATATCGTGGGATTTAGGGGATATATCGTGGTATCATATATCGGAGGATGAGGAGAGGATATCGAAGGTTCAAGGTGGATATGGTAGATAAAAATGGGGTAGCAGAACCAAGTAAATTTACCATGTTCTTTTACTCGAGTAATAGAACCCAGAGCTGAGGGTTAACCCGATAATAAAGAAATCGACCCAGAACTTGATGATTACTTGCATCTGCGGTAATTTTAAGTTCTAACAAATTGTCATCAAGATAAAACCGTATGGGGAAACATGCTGATTTTGGGGTCAAAAATTCAAATATGCAAATGTCTTTTTATAAGAATCCCAATTCCTCAATATCTCCCTAGATTCTTATTATTTCCATGTTATATCAATTAATCCACCTAAATAACTTCATACCGCTCTTAATCCCCTGGTCCACTTATATGCCTCAATCTCGCAAATTCCCAGATATACATACTTCTTTCTTAAACCCTGAATTTGGAGAACAAAAAAACTATTGCTTGCAATATCAATTTTTCCTATTTTCTTTCTACACTAAAATTTTTATTTTAAAAGTTAGGTTGTAAATAAATTTGAAAAACCTGTTGCTTAATTTGAAAAAATAGGTTGAAAAATAGAGCCCCCCGTCTGAATTAGAGCCCCCTCTTTAATATAGCCTCCCTTTTCGGGATAGTTGAAAAATAGAGCCCCATGGGGCTCTAATACAGTAAATACGGTATTTATTTATTAATAGTTAAATTTTATTATAAATCTTTTTATTAACAATTATTAAACATTATAATCTTTTACAACTATATCGTTATAATTTTGTCCTTAAAAATTTCAGATTTCACATCAATTAAGGCAAAGTTTGGTTTTACTATCACATTTATCTTTGCAATCAGTACAAGGCTCACCAGCATGATAAACACATCCTGTATAAACATTTCCACTAAAAATAATTAATTGTAACTATAAAATTAAATATTTATTACGGTGGCTTGTATTGGCAAACAACATAAGATTTATATTTGGGGCAACGTCCAATTCCACACCCGACTTGATACGTGCTATACCAGGCAAGTTGTGTCCAATGTCCAATACCTCTATTATTTTGAGGTGCATCAAATGCAACGCAGTCTTGGCCAGGATAAGGTCCCAAAGCTCCTCTGTATTCCAACTCTGACCACCATCCTTTTACTACATACTCGATGGCAGCAGCTTTAATTTAGAGAAATAAGATTTAATTAAATAATTAAATACAATCATTGTCCATTCTTGCATAAGCATAGAAATTCTCTCCATAATTCCCATATGGGTCCGAATGACTATAAGTGCATTTATCAGCCCATGCCTGTGCTTGCTTTTCAAGTTCTAAAGAAAATTCCATTTTTTTCATATCTTTTGCTTTTGGCAGAAGCTCTCCAGTTTTATTTTTAACCCTTCCTGCAACTAGTTCGGCACGGAAATAATTGTGCCAGTAAACTACTGCATCACGCCCGGCTTGGTCAATTGCGATAGTAACTAAACAGAATTTTATATTTTTAAATAAAACTAAATATTACATTCATTATTCATAATGGCAGACAATGCCAAGATAGCTAATAATGAAATAAACATTTTGTTTAACTATTTAAGCTCTAATATTTAATTAATTTCTTCAATGTTTTGAGTTAAATATTAAAATTTCTGGCTTTTATAGCAAACTATTAATTTAATAATTGTGTGGTCCAGACATTTAAATATTGTTTATTTAACTGTGAATTCTAATAAATTAATTAAATTTTTAAATGAATTAAAACAAAAGTACATTTCAACTACTTGAACGGGCTTTACATTTCTGCGGATTTTGCATCATTTTGTGCTTTTTTCAAGCTTATAAGGATTTTTTATATTCTTATAGTTTTTAAAATAAAATGTTATTTTTTTCACGTAGGCCCTACACAGTTAAATACAAGTCGACAATAACCATAAATGAGGCAAAATGCGCAGAATTAGGAGTCATAAAATAAATATTAGAGAAAATGTTAACTTATTTAATAATAAATGTAAAGCCCGTTCAAGTAGTTGAAATGTACTTTTGTTTTAATTCATTTAAAAATTTAATTAATTTATTAGAATTCACAGTTAAATAAACAATATTTAAATGTCTGGACCACACAATTATTAAATTAATAGTTTGCTATAAAAGCCAGAAATTTTAATATTTAACTCAAAACATTGAAGAAATTAATTAAATATTAGAGCTTAAATAGTTAAACAAAATGTTTATTTCATTATTAGCTATCTTGGCATTGTCTGCCATTATGAATAATGAATGTAATATTTAGTTTTATTTAAAAATATAAAATTCTGTTTAGTTACTATCGCAATTGACCAAGCCGGGCGTGATGCAGTAGTTTACTGGCACAATTATTTCCGTGCCGAACTAGTTGCAGGAAGGGTTAAAAATAAAACTGGAGAGCTTCTGCCAAAAGCAAAAGATATGAAAAAAATGGAATTTTCTTTAGAACTTGAAAAGCAAGCACAGGCATGGGCTGATAAATGCACTTATAGTCATTCGGACCCATATGGGAATTATGGAGAGAATTTCTATGCTTATGCAAGAATGGACAATGATTGTATTTAATTATTTAATTAAATCTTATTTCTCTAAATTAAAGCTGCTGCCATCGAGTATGTAGTAAAAGGATGGTGGTCAGAGTTGGAATACAGAGGAGCTTTGGGACCTTATCCTGGCCAAGACTGCGTTGCATTTGATGCACCTCAAAATAATAGAGGTATTGGACATTGGACACAACTTGCCTGGTATAGCACGTATCAAGTCGGGTGTGGAATTGGACGTTGCCCCAAATATAAATCTTATGTTGTTTGCCAATACAAGCCACCGTAATAAATATTTAATTTTATAGTTGCAATTAATTATTTTTAGTGGAAATGTTTATACAGGATGTGTTTATCATGCTGGTGAGCCTTGTACAGATTGCAAAAATAAATGTGATAGTAAAACCAAACTTTGCCTTAATTGATGTGAAATTTTTAAGTCTAAATTATAACGATATAGTTGTAGAAGATTATAATGTGTTAATAATTGTTAATAAAAAGATTTATAATAAAATTTAACTACTATTAAATAATTCAATTGGTATGTGAGCACTTGTATGCAATATTAGGGTCTGGTCTCATTTACTAGAGCTGTCTGAGACCGAAATTTTTCCAAGACTCAAGACCCAAGATCAATTTTATTTAGCTTAAAATTAAATTTTAATCATCAATTTTCGTTCTTCATTTTTTTCGGAAAGAAGCGAAAATTCAAAAAGGAAGCGAAAATTATGTTATAATAATTAATTTCACCAATTAGGATTCAATTTGAATTTTTCCCCCATGTTTGAATCATTCAAACCTAGGGGAAAAACTGAATTCAAGAACACTACCACTGCGTCACCGAAGAACACATTAGTAAATAAAAAGGAATTGTTTATATCTAGAAAAGAAAACTTTGAGGGTTTGTAAAATTTTGTGGGCTTATAACTCGGCCCACGGTACCATTTAGCGGAAATGATCAAATTTCTCAACTAAAGTAGGGTATGATGTACGTGTCTGTAAAATTTCATGCCGTAGTCCCGCGGACACATCCAGGCACTCTCCTTTGTGAGAGATATCGGAGGATTGAGTGGATATTTCCAAATTACCAGATATCCCTCCAATTCTCAAACCCCCAAAATCACGTAAAACGGCGTTTTGCGCCGCAGGCGAAAATTGTGAGAATTTTGAAAGGCAAAGAAAAATGCTTTACTCCCTTTTTGCGCCGCAGGCGAAAATTGTGAGAATTTTGGAAGTCCAAGTAGTAGATTTCTTCCCTTATTTGCGCCGCAAGCGAAAATTTTGGAAAATATGGATGGACAAGACACCAGATTTCCAAAAAGGCCAAAAAACCAAGACCAAAAAATAGAACCAAGACAAGACCAAAACAAACACCACAAGACCAAGACCGAAAAAAACCAAGAAAAGTCTTGGTTCCAAGACCAAGAGTCTCGGACAGCTCTATCATTTACTATATAAAATGTATTTCCATTACATATTTAATGAATTTTCAGCATTACGAACATAATTTCAACGTTATATTAAATGCCTTTATTAATCCTTTGTTATTTTACTATAAAACATTTGTTGGAACAGCTTGCGTTTGCTAGTTGGAAATAATTATTTTGAGAATTCGATAGAAGCATCTTGTTATATAGGTGAAATTGGTGGAGAGGAACAAAACAATTATTTGCTGATATGTCGTAGTTTTTTGGTTGCTATTACAATTTTTAAAATTCTTACTTTCCAAAGCAAAACTTTTTTATAAATTAAAAACACTTAAAGAATGACTACATACATAAAATTAGAGTTGGAATATACGAGACCGCGACCGATACAGAGATTCTCGGCTCTTTTCCAATATCGGTCTCGGTTTTTTCATTCTCGTTCTCGAACCCGATACTGAAATTCTCGGTCCATTTCTCGGCGAGAAACGATAATGACTCAAAGAAAAAAATCCTCAATATTGTCCAAAGTAATTTGGCAAAGTAATTGCTGAACAATAATTGCTGAACAAATACATGCCCATCTTGCTAAGTTGGGATTTTCCTTGAATAAATTAATATGTGTAGTTAGGCTTTCTGGTGCAACACTTGAAAAAATATTGGTAGTGAGGGCAAATATGGATAAAATTTATTTGGCGCCATTAATCGAATCGGATCCAGATGATAAAGAGTATTTATCTGATGATTTGGATGTTGAAAATAATGAATAAATTATTTTTACACGCATTTTTTGACATAAAATAAAAATTTCCGTTAGTCTCGGTCAGTATCGTTTCTCGGTAACGGTCTCGGCTCAAAATGATGGTATCGGTCTCGGTATCGGGTTCTTGAGTATCGGTCAATCTCGGTCTCGGGTTGGCCGATACCAGTATCGTTTTTTACAACTCTACATAAAATGTCATTTTTTATTAAAATATTATAATAATTTCTGATAATTGTTTATTTTTCCTTTTTATTTTCGTTCATTTTTATATGATTGCCTATTGCATCCCAATCAATCCAATCATTAAAAGAGTCATTTGAGGTCGATTGAAAATTTTCTAAATATTTATATTAAAATTATTAAGTAAATTCTTTACCATTATGGCTTGATTGGTTCATACCATTTTCATTGTTATTTATCATATTCTCTTTAGTGTAAATACTATTTTTGTTATAATTTGTATCAAAATGATTATTATTTTGTTGTATCTGTTGATTTAAGTGTAAATCTTGATGTGAATCAATTAAATGTAAATTTTCGTAATAATTAATTTCATTATTTTCAAAAATATTTTGATTTTCATTTCCAAAATAATTTCCACTAGCACTATTATTGCTTGACTGCCCAACATCATTTAATGAATTGTTTAATTGGTCTTTGTTTTGGTGTGATTTTATTTGACATTCCGAATCTTTACTGTTTTCTTTGAAATTATATTAAATTATTATAAAGGGGGTTATAATCGAGGAACTCCCTAGAAAAGTTTGTCAAGACATCTAAATTAAAATACTTTCTTTTTAAATAAAATTGGGAACATTCCTTATTTCAAAACAATTAAAAGGTTACCAGTATCAAAATTATCCCAATCAATTTGATCTAACGTTATTTCATCAAATAAATAATTTTCTGAATTTTTAATAATATTATTATTACTAATTTTGGAATTATTCTTTTTCTCAATTATTTTTGAATTGTTATTTTCTTCATCAATTATCATAGTTTCAGTGCAGACTTGTTTGCCCTTTCCTTTTCGTCCACTACCGGAATTATTTCGTTTTCGGGGCTAAAATTTTCAATAAATTAAATGTAAAAGAAAATTTGATTTAAACATTATAAAATATTTTCAATTAATTTTAAAAATAAAATAAAAAAAATTATATAAAAAATTACAGTTTTTGTCTTTTTATTCTGTTGAGTTTTTAAGGCTAAAATTATACATAATCTTTTAATTATCTTGAAAGAATCCTTATTTAGAATATAAATTTCAAATATGGTGAACAAATTTAGACATTATTAGTGTATTTACTTTTTACATATCAATTGATCCAGAAAAAGTTTCGGGAAGAGGGGCAAAGGGGAATCATTTTCGGTGCCGAATTTTTGATAAGTTTAGAAGGCCGTGCCAAAAAATTCATTTTTTGCTCAATCCTCGCCCCAAATTTATTTACTTACCCGATTTCAGTAGGGGGGGGGAGAATATTATTTTTTGTTTGCACAAATTTTATACTAAACCTTTATAAAATTATTTTATTTTCTACATACATTCATTATTCTTTGAATATCCACTTCCAAAATATTCCATTTGTTTAGTTAAATTATTTACCCATTGTTGTATTCCCGTCATCGGGTTTTTGTTATCATTTAAAGAATTATTATTAAAATTAATTATCTGTCCCTTGATTAATTTTGTTTCTTTGTTATTTTGAGGGGGAGTATCTCTAAAATGAAAATTTTATTTTAAAAATCAATTAAATTACAGAAATTTTCTAATTTATTTTAATCTGTTTAAGTTAACCCAATCAAGAGAAACCTAATATTAGATTTCAAATTAAATTATAAAAATTAAAGATTAAAGATTTAAGATTAAAGATTTTTAAGATTAAAGATTTTTGATTAAAGATTTTTTGATTTTTATTTGGTTGATCAAAACAAATATACATTGGCCCCTTGCCTTTATTTGTATTATTTACTAATTTATTCTGTTCCTTTTCAAAATTAATTTTTATAATTTTTCTTTCTCCAATTATTTTACAATCATCATCATCAGATTCCGATTCCTTTTGATTTGACAATTGTTTATTTTTATTGTTTTTAGTCGAAATCATTTTAGAATTGTTTTTATTAAAGTTTAAGGTTTCATTAGTTTGCTTGTTTGATTTAGAAATTTTATTATTAAAATTATTTGTTTGATTTTGATTAACAACAGAAGCTTCAGCATATTCAGACAATTCAGCTAAATATTAAATTTAAATTTAGAAATTAATTCACATCTGAGTGAATTTTGCTATAAAATTTTAGATTGGGAAATAAGTAGAGTAGGGAACTCGGCCGGCTAGCAAGAACTGTTACGAAGCAAAAAAATCTTCGAGAATCGAAAATATTTTTCAAAATCTTTAAAGTTGAACGCCATAATTCCTCCTTTTTCAATTTTTTTTCAAAAATTCGTAAATCTAAAGGGAAACCCTCAAAATCCGAAACGAACTGTCGGCTTGCCATGAACATGGCTGGCCAGGTTATAATAAACAATAATCAGACTATGGAATTTGATAAGTCTGAGAATGAACACTACTAATATTTAATTTTCTATCATCATATCCTCAAGCTCATATCCTCATAATTAACAATCCAATTTTTTAAACCCTCTCACTTACCAATTGGTGATATCTTTACTTTTTTGTTAGCATTTTCCTTTCTTTTTGGGGCAGCATCGAGTTTAACAAATAAAACAAATAATAAACAATAAAAAGACAAAATATTTAAAAAATTCATTTTGATTAAAAAGAATTAATTTTTCTAATTAAATTATATAATTTATTTTTTCAAATCTAAAATAATATTTAAAATATTTGTTAATTTAAACTTTTATTTACTATTTATAATATAATAATATTTTAAATATTTTTATTTTTTCCCACAAAAATATTAAAAAACATTTATTTCCCACTTTCCTTTCTCATGAACTTAGACAAAATTTTAAATTTCTAAATTACAAATTAATTTTTTTATTATGAGAATTTTGTTTATATGTACTTGTAAAGTGCAGAGATGCTAAGACCCACTTAGCACTAACTTCATTATCCAGAATTTCTAGAAATTAAAAAAGGAAGAATAGTCTATAATGAGAAGTTGGTATTATAAATTTATTAAATTAAATTTTCAAATATTAGTATAATTAGGAGTGTTGAAAATTAAAAATATTTCGAAATTTATTTATTTTTGCTGTTTAATTATATAATTATATAATTTATTTATTTATAATAATTACGACTGGAGGACTTGCATTTTTGTCGCGGAAAATGTCGCTAATTTTTATTTCTTCCATTTTCAGCGCCGCAGGCGAAAATTTTTTTAATTTTGGAAGATCCTTAAGCCAAAAATCGTTCATTTTCAGGCCAGGCAAAAAATTTTGAGGATTTTGTAAGATCAAGGACACAGATTCCTACCTTTTTTGCGCCGCAAGCGAAAATTTTGAGAAGGACTTGCATTTTTGTCGCTCTTACAACTTATAGGCATAAACGCTCTTACAACTTATAGGCATCCCTATAAATATTTTCATTCCCTATAAATATTTTCAAAAATTATTTCCCTATAAATATTTTCAAAAATTATAATCGTCATGGGAAACGCAAAGAGACCCTGTACATCGATTAGTCCAGATAGTGAAAGTGATAAAACACCATATTTATCACCAGAACAAATTGAACAAATTTCTCGAAATGTTGTTCAAATTTTAGCACCGATAATCGAGACAACAATCAAAACATTATTTGAACAATTTCATCAACAATTTAGCAATAACCATCCTCCATCCGAACCACAAAAAACAAACTCCCGATGGGGGTGTCCCCCCAATTTAATGCCTCCCAAAATTCAACAAGCAGCCAAAACGATTGAACTACTTCAACAACCTAAATTTGATAAAGAGCTTAAAGAGCTTTATGAGAAGAAAAGTTTCTACGCAGTAATTGAAAGACTTCCTGAAAATGAGGAAGAAGAAGAAGACATTAAAGCTATAAAGAAGAATGTTGAGATGGTAGTTAATAACAAAAATTTTAATGATGCTAAAACTTTCGAAATAAAGAGGCACGGAACTAAGAAGCACAATAATTACCACCGAATCATCAAAGTTAAATTCTCAACTACAACAGCTGCACACACATTTATTAATCAATATAGAATGATACACCAACCAAAATTGGGTGGACATAGTCCTTTCGCAAGAAGGGACTTAACTCCACCCGAGCTACAACTACAGAATTACCTTAAACAACAAGTTAAGGATATTAATCAAAAATATGGAAATGGTACAGCTTCTTATCGTAATCTTAAAATTTATTATAAAAAGGAAGTGAACATGGACTAGGATTTAGGGACCTCACAGAAAAATAATCACACAAATAATAGAAAATTAATAAATTTAAACTGTTTACTTCTAAATATACGCTCCATTAATTCAGAAAAAACCTCAACTAAATTAGTCGAATTAGAAAATTATTTAATTAAAAGCAATATTCATATAGCGTTCTTATGTGAAACCTGGCTTACTGATAAGACATCTAACGAATCCCTTACTATATCTGATAATTATAGCTTTTTAAGAGTGGATAGAGTAAAAACTAGAGGAGGAGGGGTAGGCGTATTTTATAAAAAGGAACTAAAAATTATTAATGTCCCCACTCTTTCTATATCCGAATACAACCACGAACTTCTTACTTTTGATGTATACTCAGAATTTAAAAGAATCAGATTCCATTTAATATATAGACCAAATACAAAATTAATCGACGATAAAAAATTTTGGGGATTAATAAAGAAAAAATACAAAAACGAACTTTCAAATATAATATTAGGAGATTTTAATTTCCCAAAAATAAATTGGTTGGGGTTTGCACTTCCAAAGGATAAACAAAACTTATACTTTTATAATACCATAGATAAACTAAATTTAAATCAGATAATAAAAGAGGCCACAATGCACAATACTTCCAATACATTAGACTTAATTTTCCAAAACAGGCAATTAATCAAGAAATATAGAATTATAGATGAGTTAATTGTAAGCGACCACAAACCTATAGAATTTGAAGTATTATTTCCGGTTGAAAAAATAGCAGCTAAAGAGAAAAAAAAAGTTTTATTATTTAAGAAAGGAAAATATAAAATAATCAATTGGTATTTATCTCAATATAACTGGTATAATCTATTTAATAACAAAAATCCCTCCGAAATGGCCGAAATACTAAATTCCATAATAACCGAAGCAATTCAAAAATTCATCCCATTAAAAATATTTGGTGGAAAAAAGCCCATGAAATATCCTAAGGAGATAAGAGAAATCATCAAACAAAAAGCTTGTGCATGGAAAAAGTTTAAACTAGGTGAGATTAGTAAAGATAATTATAAAAGCCTTGAAATAAAATGTAAATTACAAATAGAAAAATATAAAAATAATCATCTATCGAAAAAAATAGGATCTGGGCACATAGGAGAAATACATAAGTTAATTAAGAGGAATCGATTTAACATCTCTGGAATACCGATACTTAAGGAATCTGAGGAAAGTGACCCTATAGTATTAGACATAGACAAGGCAAATAAATTCAGAACCATTTTTGAAGAAATAGTTTGCGGAGGTATAAACAATAAACAAGCACACCTAGAAGTTGAGGATGAATATCAGGAAGAAATTATTTTTGAACCTTATCTAATAGAAAAATTACTCAAAAAGCTCCCAAATAAATTATCTCATAGCCCTGAGAATATCAATCAATATTTTTTAAAAAAATGCGCTACCCCCTTAGCTCTTCCTCTCTCAATTTTATTTAACAATACATTTAAAACCGGGATAGTCCCTGAATTATGGAAAACGGCACACATTCTCCCTATATTTAAAAAGAATGGTTCATTAAACGACCCAAAAAATTATAGACCAATTGCACTAACATCCCCAATCTGTAGAGTTTTTGAGAGCCTGATAAAGAATAATATATTAGAATATCTTTACAAACATAAAATAATTGCTGAAGAGCAATTTGGGTTTTTACCTAAAAGTTCATGTACACTCCAAATTTTATCATCTATGCAAGATTGGTACAACTCGCTTGATAGGAATATAGGTACGGACGTTATATATTTTGACTTCGAAAAAGCCTTTGATAAAGTAGATCACAAAATACTTATAAATAAATTACGAGAAATTAAAATAGATAGGTTTACTATTAGATGGATAACAAATTTCCTCTCTAATCGATCTCATTTTGTGAAAATAGGTGAGAATTACTCTGAACCATTTATGCCTAAAACAGGTGTCCCGCAAGGGACGGTATTGGGACCTTTATTGTTCCTTATATATATAAACGACCTACCCAAATATATTCCGAAAAATATAAAAGTAAAACTATATGCAGATGATTTTAAGCTTTATTCTGAAATTAAAACAGAAAAGGATTGTAAAGAACTACAAGAAGCTATAGACAATGCTTCCAAATGGGCAGAAAATAATAGGCTAAAATTCTCTATTACAAAAGTTAAAGTTTTAAGAATACACAGCAAATCTAAGTTTAACTATGAGATTAGTGGAAAAAAAATCGAAGAAGTTAATTCTATAAGAGACCTGGGTATATACATAGACAATAAACTAAAATTTGATCAACACGTGGCAAAAATTACTAAGTCCTCATTTATAAGGCTAAATAATATTCTAAGAATATTACCTAAAACATTACCAATAGAAACATATGTAAAGGCATTCAAAACATACATAAGACCAATTATGGAGTATTCCACTGAAAGTTTTAGCCCTAAACTAGATTATCTTAATAAACAATTAGAGAAACCACAAAGAAGTTTTACGAGGAAAGTATTAAGATATAAATACAAATACCAGAAAATAGAATATAACGAAAGACTAAAAAGATGCAAACTCCCTCCAACTAATATACGTCGTATAAAAACGGATCTTATGACAACCTACAAAATAATCATGGGTTTCTATAAAATAAATCCAGAAAAAATATTTTCAAAACCTAATAGAATTAATCCGCGCTTGCATAGATATCAAATATTTAAGAAACAAGCTCAGAATAACCATTTCTTTTCACATAGAGTGATAGATAGGTGGAATAAACTTCCAAAAAATGAAATCGAAAAAATCAATACCATTCCTCAATTTAAAAAATTTTTAGACAAAATATTAACCACAGAAGATTATAATTTATGAGTATGAATTAATGGAGTGTATTAACATAAAATCCTAACCCAAATGTTCACTTTCTCACCTAAACAAATTTACTCAACATTTAAATAAAATTAGTTTTAATACAAATATTTTTATACCCAAATAAACATACCTATATATTTTTTTATGGCATTTAATTTTATACATTTAATTTATTTTTTCTGTGGAGTCCATTATTTATTTTATTTTTTTTTTATTTTACAACTTACATTTTTTTTAAAACCGTCATATTTTATTTGTTTTTTTTTATTGTACGTTACCTCTCCATAAGTGATCCCTGTGGATCCAGGAGTTTTATTTTATTGTTTCACACTTATTTATTTGTGTTCGATAAAGAAAAAAAAAAGAATTTTGGAAGGCCAAGAAGCCAGATTTCTTCCATTTTTAGCGCCGCAGGCGAAATTTTTGAGGATTTTAGAAGGTCTTAGCGGAAAAATAATGACATTTTTGCAAAAAACCACAAGAAAATATAAAAAATCCCCATATTCTTCAAAAGACCACAAAAATCCGCAAATCCGCATTTTAAAAAATAATCCTCATCGCCCCATCAAAAAACCACAAAATGAGGAAAAATCCCCAGATATCGAAACCCTGTTTTATTATAATAAAATTATTTATTTTAATCGATAATAATTTTTTCCTCCACTATAGATTAATTCCCCATGCCAGGGATGGGGTAAGATTTATTTTCTATTTAAACATTTTATCGATAAAAAATGCTAAAAAATTCTTATTATTAAATTTTCAATGACAAACAACAATTAACTAAAATTAATTAAATTTTTGACAAATTACCTATATGTTTTTTGATCAAAAACCGTATTTTACCAAAAATTTCCATAATTACCTACAAAACTTAAAAACATGTTAAACCTTTTTTTTGCAAAACGCCAGAATAAGTTCCAATAGGATACAATAAGTTCATCCAAACAAACGATTTTTTGAACATGTCAAATGTAACATTAAAATCAACAAATATTTATTGCTTTGATTTGAATGATAAATATATAATTTAAAATATTTGCCGTGATATATTTTAATTATTTTTAATTGAAATGATTCTATACATATTTGGATATTTCCGTCTACTCCTTATTTCCACTTACTTTTATGGCCTTTTATGGCCCCCCTATTGTACTCATTGAACTTGCTTCAGCTCCTGGATACCATTCTCATGAACCTCCAACCATCTCCCGGAATTACTAAATGTCGTTTCATTTCTCTGTGTATTTTTAATGGGAATTATTCTATATTTGGATAATCACTCCCCGACTCCCTATTTCCGCTCATTTTTTATGACACAGACCTCACTTTTTAGCTTCCAGACCCCTTAGATCTCCCTCAACTACGTTTAGCTTCTGGATACCATTTTTTAAGTCTAAGGTGTGCTCTATAGTGAAGCAGTCCGGCGCAAAAGTCGATGCGCATGCGCGCACTGCGCAAGTGTCACGGAAACCTATAATCAATACAAAAAATATATCTCTTGCACTTTTTAATTTCATAATGAATGATGCTATGTAGACAGTCTATCCTTTATTTATTAAATAAAAAATAAAATAAACATCACTAAATAACACTGATAATTTAAAAACATATTTATATAAATATTATTTTTTAATTATTTTTTTGTTTTCATAAATAAATTTAACATACATATAAGTACATATAAATTTTAAAAGTATTCTTCAATTTAATTTAATCTAATTCCTTAAAATTATTTATTTAATTAAGTATTCATAGTTTAATTTTAATGAAATTATTTTTTTTATTTTTTACATTTATTTCTATAAAATCTATTTTTTTAATTTATGCAATCCCTCCAAAGGAAAAAAAGCAAAAAATAGGTTACTAATAATTTTTTAAATGATTAAAAAAATTTTTAATATAATTATTTATAATAATTAACAAAATTAACGGAATTCAGATTTCCGAAAAAATTTTAATTTCCGATTTCCGAGTTCCAACTTTTGAGTCAGTTCCGATTTCCGGATCTTCCGATTTCCTACACCACTGACTGTTCCGACCTACCTCTGATGGCAATGAGGGCAATAACCCTTACACGGTTTTATATCAAAATTTAATTTTGGAACAAACATTTTTGCTTTATACGATTTTTAAATTAAATTAAAATAGAATATTTATTAATATAAAAATAAATTTTAGAAAAAGATGAAGTTTCGTCTGGAAATAATTCTCAAAATTATGAAAATTTAAACAATCAAATAATAGAAAATTTTAATATGAAAAAAGCAAAACAAAAAGAAACAAATCAATTTTTAAATCCATATTCAATTTTTAGTAATAATTCGAAAAACATTGGTGAACATTCAAATAAAAATGAGCATTCTTCTGAAAATATTAATTCAACTGCTCAAATCATTAGCCTTGAAGAGGTAAAATTAATAGTAACTTTTGAAGGGGCTGATAATTTTTAAGGTTATTGGTAACATTTGACAGAGCATTAATAAGTTACAATATACCAGAAAATCTAAATTCTTGACTAGCTGGTGAAAAAGTTGGTTTATATAACATAACTTTTTTTATCAACCAGTCAAAAATTCTGATTTTTTGATATGCCCTAGTACTCTATCTACCAAGGATACCAAGGATATGAAAAGGTGACCATTCTTTGGATAGTTAGAAGATCCAGACTAAACTGAGGTGCTCCGTCTTCTGGAGTTATCTTTCGAGGTCTTTTCGTTGTTCTATACCTAAATTCGTGTGTATTTCCCCATTCGTGTGTATTTCCCTATGAGAGCAATCCTGAGTCTAGAAATTTTATCTTATAATATTCTGAAGTAAAGAAAATTTAATAAATCTTCCCTCACCCAGTGGCCAAGAACCAAAAAAATCTTAAAATGAGATTTTTTATTGGGTGTAGAAGGAAAATCTAACTTTATCCGTTAATTCTGCATTATTTAGGATGTGGAACATTTTAATATTTCTGACGAAAATGTAAGTTTAAAATTTATTAGTATAATAAAAAATATTTGAATAATATGAAAATTATTTTTATATTTTTAGTGCTTCTATTTAATTTTGAAATATTCAATTAAATAAAAATAAAATTCAGATATTTAAATTGATGGAATTGGAGAATAAAAATTATGACGAATATCAAAAACAAGTACATGGACTTTCTTTAATTTATGGAATTAAAGTTCATGTTATCAAGGTTTTGAACAGAAAATCCTTTTTTTAATTTAAAATTTATTTTTAATTAGTATATGCTTAATGAACGATTTAAGGTTTGCATAATCATATTAAGAAAAAATATATTCTATAATAAAAATTAGGGATTTATCAAATTATAAATTTTAGGTTATACTTAAAAATATTTTGCATTATAATTTATTTTTATAAATTTAGCTAT